ATGCATCAAATCTATTCTTGAGATGGCCCTAAATTCAGGTGGGTTTTATCAAGGTAGTACTTTGTACTTGTTTTCATTGTTTTCAGCTACAATACAACTTGAACTTACAAATGAGCAACTGATGCTTTGTTCTGCAGTTCTGCCTGGCCTTGTTCTAACTGATGATACTGAGCTTTTCCATCTTTTCCTTTCAAATATGTAGTCTATTTTATTCTTGAGTGTTTCATCTGGTAAGGTTCATGTGAATAGTCATTTATTTTGCTGAAATGCGGTATTTGTAATGAATGGGTGGTTGGTCTTGCAAAATTCTATCATTCTGTGTCTGGCATCATTTCTATCACCAAGGCCATTATTTTTCTATCAATCCTTTCTCTTTGTTTCCAAGTTTCATATTACAATCACCAGTAATTATCAGTTCATCTTCATTACATGGTAGACTAATTTGAGACTTCAGAAGTTGGTAAAGATCTTCAATTTCTTCTTCTTCAGCATTAGTGGTTGGTGCATAAATTAGAATGATAGTTGTATTAACTGTTCTATCTTGTAGGCATATATGGATATTATCCTATCACTGACAGCACTATACTTCAAAATATCTCTTGAAATATTCTTTTTGATAATGAATGCCACAAAATTTCTTCAATTTGTCATTCTCGGCATAGTAGAACATATTACTGTCCAATTCAAAATAGCCAATACTGGTCCATTTCAGCTCACTAATGCATAGGATATCAGTCTTCAAGCAATCCATTTCATTTTGACAACATCCAATTTATCTAGATTCATATTTTGTACATCATATATTCCAATTATCAACTGATGTTTGCAGATTTCTTTTTCTCATTTTGAGTCATGTTACATCAGCAAATGAAGGTCCCCAAAGCTCCATCCATGTCATTAAGGTCAACTGTTCTTTGAGGAGGAAATTCTTCCCCATTCATATTTTGAGTGCCTTCCAACCTGAGGAGCTCACATTTTAGCACTATATCAAGCAATGTTCCAGTGCTATTTATAAAGTTTTACTGGCCAAGATTTTTTAAATGGAGATCCCCAGATTTTTCTCACTAGTGTCTGTATTAATCTGAAAGCTCTATTGAATCCTGTCTTCCATATTTGAAATACCAGTGGGCAGTTTCTAGCATCATAGCAACATGCAAGCCAGCCTGTGCTGATAAACTATATATGCATGGTGGGAAGTAAAATTAAAATGATTTTATTAAGATATTGGACTAAGTTTCTGATATTTTTCAGTCTCAAGAATAATGGTGTTCCATTTGAATGATCAGTTATATATTTTTACATTATGTGTTGTTATAGTTTTATAATATAAAGGTCAGAGAATGTTTTATATATGAACAGTACCTTGTAAACGGCAATAACTGATTTTCAGATTATAGGTATGCACTGTTTAATGTCCATTTGGATAATGTCTGACTGCATATACGTTTGTGGTCCCATAAAACTTTTAAGTGTTTTATTTTAAAAAGGGAAAACAGCTCTCCTTTTGTTACTTCCCCCTAATGGTTCTAAAACCCCAAACCCAGACTCTTGCAGTAGTGGATCACAGGTAGGATACAGGCAGGTGAGGCAAAAGACATGGCTCTCAGCTCAGGCTCTCGAGCTTTCTGCAAGCCACAGGGGCTATAGGGCTGGTTACTCCTAGTACACAGGCAAGCTCAACAGCAGGGAAGGCAGGGCTTGCTCCACTGCCTTGCCACTTGCTCCCTCTCTCTCCACTGCCACTGCTGCCACCGGTTTCTCCAGCCTCTGCCAGCAGCTTCAGCAGCTCCAGCAGTAGCAGCAGTGGTAGAAGCATTGGCGATGAGGACAAACATAAGCAGGCTCCCATAAGGTGCTCATACAACGTCCAAATCATATAATGTTCTATTTCATAGAGCATATTATTGATATTAAGCATACTTGTAATCATTTTCCACTAATTTAAGTAAGCAATTTGTTTTCCAGCTTAAACCAGTCTCCAAAGGAAATCTCAACACTGATTTTTTAAGCATTTACCTTTTGGAACGACTCAACGGCACTTAACAACAACCTTTTGGAAAATGAGATTTGAAAAAATGAACCTATAAAATGAAACATATTTTTTCAGTTCTATACCTGCTTGAAATTTTGGTATTGTGTAATCAGTTCAAAATGTGACACTAAAGATATTTAGGGAAGCAAGAAAAGGAAAAACACATGAAAGGACTATTTCTTCACATTCCATTTAATTCTCACTGGGCCATAATTCCACAGCTATTCAAGATGGTACTTATTGACATTACTTTTTTAATATTCAAATGAAATGTGTTATAGTATCACTGAATTTTACATTTCTCACCTTATTCTCTTAAGTAATCATTTCATATATTAGGGAACATATTGGTAAATATTCATTTTTTATTTCCTAATATTTAAATACAAATTAAGCGAATCTGCTTCTATCAAAGCTGACAGCTATTTAGCATAATAGCTAAATACAAACTCTATAATCTTCCTGTGAATTAACTTAAAAAGTAAAGGTAGTAATGACTCAGTAAGTAGCATGAAGAAAGAATTAAATATATCCTCTAAATAGAAATAGAGTAAATTAGATCCTTGAAAATATTCTTACAAATCAACAAATCAAGCCAGATGTCTCCAAACAATGAGACTCTAATATCCCATTCAACTTTATTCCTTCTTGCATTTCCAGTCCCAAGCCAATGCACTATAAAATTTCAGCATTATCCATAATGATAATGTAATAATGATAATTTTGCTCACCACTTGTAAGCAAAAATAAATGTTTATTACTGTAATGCCACTGAGACTTTATGTTTTGTTGTTAGCTGTATTTTGTGATAATAAATAATACATACATTAACTGGTACCTAAAAGTGGTAGTATGCGCCATAATAGAAACTTAAGAATATGTAGCATTGACTTTGAGTCCAAAAATAATAGTTATAGAGGCTACAAAAATATGGAAGAAACTATAGAGGACCAAAAAAATGATAACTCATACAACACTTAGGAACATTTTTGTAAATATGCCCCAGCCTAAAATAAGTTTTAAAATGTAACTAAGAAACTATTGGACTTGAATGAGCTAATTTCCAGGCAGAATGATGAAAATAAGACCTAACTGTAACTAGTTAAAGGAGCTCTAGTTAAACTAGTTAAAGTAGCATAGTGGTTACGAATCGGGCTGCGAGCCGCAAGGTCAACAGTTCAAAACTACCAGCTGTTCTGTGGGAGAAAGATGAGACTTTCTGCTCCGGTAAAGATTTACAGCCTTGGAAACCCTGTGCAGGGTCGCTATGAGTCGGAACCGACTCCACTGCACATAACAACAACAACATGTACAATAAGGTGCATCAAAAAAGAGACTAGCTAAATCAAGAACAGATTGTTTTACAAGCAGAATTCAGAGGGAATGTAGAGGAACCAGGTCTTGCTGAATTAAAAAAAGTAAAACTTTTTATTTTATCCCTAGCCTCTCTCAAGAAGTGCCTGGGGAAAAAAAATCAAATCAAGGGTGTGGCTGTTAAGTTCCTTTGTTAAAACCTCTAAATGAATTAAGGCTCGCTTGACCAAAGGGCATAATTTCAAAGAATTCTGATCCCTACATAGAAGTGATTATATCTAGAAAGCAGGAAAGTCTCTAAAAACAATTGTGGGTGTGGATTTTGGAGCTTATATAGACTACATCAGACACATAAAAAGCCCACAAAGTGTTTGAGTGTTATACTGGCCAAAGAGAATAAGCAGCCTGCATTTCTGCTTGGCTTGTGACTTGCTTCGCTAACAGAACACAGTGGAAGTAATAGTGTGCCAGTTCATGGGGCATTTCATCCTCTGCTTTCATTCTTGAACCTGTGCCTCTGCCATGAGAACAAAATCCTGCTGAGAGATAGGATACCATGTAGAGCACATTATAGAAGAACAGAGCAAAGCTGTTTTTATTTTTTCAACAAGGTGGTAAACAAAGCCAAAAAACAACAGAAAGGCTCTGTTATTCACCTCCTTCTGCTGTTAGTACAGTCTGACTATGATCACTTTTAATACAAAACTTCAGATTTATAGGTTGGGTTACTGTGCCTGTCAACTTTTTCCTATACCTTTGTTTCACCCATCAATCTATTAACATTCTTCACTATGTTTGTAAATGTGTATTGTAATAATAATGATAATTTTATCTTTACTTGAAACTACCAATGGCTACCCATACTCCTAATGCCAACACTTCTTCAAACATTCAAAATTCATAACAAACATAACCTTTCATTTTTTTAACTTCCTTTTCTACTACTATTCTCCTAGAGAATATGTGGCACTGTAGATTAATGTGCCATACTGCAAAGCTGGCTGACCTGCAAGGTCAGTGGTTCAAGCTCACCAGCTGCTCCTCGGAAACCCTATACAGGGTCACTATGGGTCGGAACTGACCCGACGGCACTTAACAACAACAACAACAAATATTCTTAAAAATAATTTTCAGTCCTATTACCAAGATTTTATTCATGTTGCTTTCTCTTACTAAAAGTATGTTCCTTTTATGCTTTGCTTATTCGAGTCCTAATCTTATACTTTGGTACTATATCTCCTATCCTAATATACTAACCCACAATGGTGTTCTTTTCTTTGAATTCCTAAAGTACTTCTCATATATACTTACTGGAACTTCATTATGTATGTTTTGTATGCATATTTTATTTTCCTTCATTATAAAAGAAATTTCAAGAGCATGGCTGAATCTTTAGCACTTTCATTAAAATTTTCAGTGTTCAGCACAGTGAAATTCATAAACACATGCTAAATATATCCAAATTATCATTAAATCCATATGAATAATGTACAAATGTCTACTTAAAAAATAAAATCTGCCCCAGAATTATTTTCATATAACAACTCATTGTTTTATCACTTGTTATATCAGCAAGAACAAAAGTAGTAATTGAATTTCAATAAGACTGTGTATCTTATGTAAGGCATATAGTTTTCCACATTAAGGTACATACCCTCTCTGAAATAAATCCACATTGTAGAACTTGTTTAGCTCCACGGAGAATTCCACCATTGCTTGGACTTCAGTCATTTTTAACTGCTACCCAGGAGACAAATCTGATTATCAGCACCTTGGTTAAAGCAAGAAAAAGTCATGAGAAGCAAAAATATATTTTAAAAAGCCAATTTATAAAACACTAATACTTTAGCAAGTTTTAGAGTATAACATACAGACAAAAAGTAAAATTGAAGCAAATTAATTCAACATACCTAACTCAGCCTAGAAGGCCCTAGTGGCAGTGTTTGTTATATGTTGTTAACTGAAAGGTTGGTGGTTTGAACTCACCATTCACTTGGCCAAAGAAAGATGTGACAGTATACTTCAGTAAAGATTTACAGCCTTGAAAACTCTCGACAGCGATGGGTTTTGGGAGTTGTTTTTATGAGTGTGTGTGGTTTAACTTCACCTAACTCTCCTAAATAGCACTATTCTCTATAATTAAGATTTGTCCCATTAGAATGCTTTTCCTAAGCTTTGTTTCCCTTGATGACTTCTATGTGATAACATAGCAAATTACTAAAAAGAATTTTTTGGTTTACCTTTTGTTGTAAGTTACCAAATTATCTTAGCTCTACATTATATAAAGGAAATGCCAAAGTCAAAAAGAGAATTAATAATCAATAACTCCATTTAATTCACGAAACATTTTTCTATTATATGAAGAAATAGTTCATAAATAACTTTTTATTAAAAAAAAAACTATTTTTTTTCCTCATTACAAAACTGAGTGTTCATTTTCAAAGCGATTTAAAAAAGAAACAAAACAAGTAAAAAAGAAACTACCCACAATTCTATTCATTGAAATATATATTTTGGTATATAGTCTTCATATATGTGCACATTTTATACAATTTTAATAAAAGTATGATATGTATCTTTTATTAACTTGCTTATTTCACTTTTTCATGTACTTCAATTTTCATTATCAATAAATACAGTGTTACAGCAATATTGTCAATTAACTATTACAATGCGAACATATTATAATTTGAATAATCTAATGTTGGTTATTTAGGTGGTTTACATCTTAATCACTATGTTTTAAACAACAAGGTAATGATTATTCTTAATAGTTGTTGTTGGTTAAGTTCCACAGAGGCAGTTCCGATTCATAGTGACCCTGCACACGGTTTCTGAGGCTGTAAATCTTTATGGGAGCAGAAAGCCTCATCTTTCTCCCACGGAATGGCTGGTAGTTTCAAACTGCCGACCTTGAGTTTAGCAGCCCGATTCATAGCCACTACACTACCAGAGCTCCTTATTCTAAACAGTACATGTTTTAAAAAGCAAGTTAGAAAAAGAAAGTGGTAGAAGGAAATTTTCCATGAGTCTCTCATGTTTTTATGTGTCTTGCAAGCATTTTCTTCTGAAGTCCCTTTACAAAAAATTTATATAGTCACTGCCTTAGAAGAAACAGATAGTGTCTCACTCTAGAACAAATTAGATTTGTTTACTGTCCCATATAATAAAGATGAAGTCTCCCTCAAAGACAAAGGTCAAGACGGCTTACTGTCAATAATAAAAGATGCACATTCCCTTTTTTCAGGGTTTCTTCTTATAATAAAATCTACTTAGGGTAGCTATCACCTGGTATTCTTTTAATAGGCTTGAGGAACCAGCACAAATTCCAGTTCTCTGGCTACTACTACTGCTGCCAGTACAAAACATCCTTATCTTTGATTCAGGAGCCTCATGTCTTCTACCAACTTCCATGTCACTGTAGCAAACTAGCTTGTTAGTTTGCAAGTGGAGAAAAAATCTCAGACCTTTCACAGTTCTTCACAGTAATTATCAATATATTTTGATTTAGTATGAATAAATGAAAAAACAAATGAACATATTCTTACCTCTGCTGATCAAAACTTCATTTTAACATTAATAACCAATCTTGTACTTCCAGTAACCGATTCTTGTTAAAAATATACTGTTCCTCCTATGAGAAAAAAATAACATCTCAAAATTGTAGACATAAATTCTACTTTTAGGAAACCTGTTGTTAATAAATGCCATTGAGTTGGTTCCATCTCACAGCTATTCTGTATAGGGTTTCTGAAGAATGGCTGGTGGGTTTGAACTGCCAACCTTGCTATTAGCAGTCCAGTGCTTATCCTATGGCACCACACCAGAATTCCTTAAGAAAGCCTAGGTTTTGGGAAATTGGAAGTCATAAAAAATGAAATGGACTGCATAGAGATCAATATCCTAGGCATTAGTGAGCTGAAATGGGCAAATACCGACCATTTTGAATCAGACAACAATGTTTTACTATGCCAGGAAAACAAATTGAAGAGGAATGATGTCACACGCATCATCAAAAAGAACATCAAGATCCATGTTGAAGTACAATGCTGTCTGTGATAAGACAATATCCATATATCTACAAGGAAGACCACTTAATACGACTATAATTCAAATTTATATACCAACCAATAAAGCCACTGATGATGAAACTTAAGAATTCTACCAACATATTTAAAGTGTCATGGACTGTGACAAGAACAAACAAATCTGTCTTGAAAGAAGTACAACCAGAATACTCTTTAGAAGCAAAGATGGCAAGAATTCGTCTTATTCTTTGGACACATTTTTTTTTTTGGAGGGGGGTAGATTAGTACTTATAGAAGGGCATCATGCTTGGTAAAGAGGAAGGTCAGTGAAAAATAGGAAGACCTCCAATGAGATGGATTGACGCAGTAGCAGCAACAACAGATTCAAACATAACAAGTCTGAGGATGGCACAGGACCAGGCAGTGTTTCATTCTGTTGTGGAAAGGGTCAGTTGAGTTGGAACCGACTTTACGGTACCTAACAGCAACAACAAAAACAGACTTTGATATCAATATTTACTTTTGTATCTTTGTTAAGGATTCATTTCAAAGAACAGTAGTTCATAGAAAAGTACTTTCTAAGTTTGTTGTTGTTGCTGTTAATGCCATTAAGTTAGTTCTGACTCATAGCAATCCTATATAGGGCTTCTAAGAAGTGGCTGGTGGGTTTGAACCGCTGACCTTGTGGTTAGCAGTCTAGTGCTTATATATAATACTGCTGAGTATGGTGGATCTGTAGGGTAAGTATTGAACTTCAAACCACAAGGTTGGCAGTTTGAGTTCCCCAGCCACTCCGTTGAAAAAAGATGAGGCTTTCTGCTCCCACAAAGATTTATGGCTTCGTAAACCCTATACAGGGCCAGTATGAATTGGAACTGACTTAATGGTACTTAACAACAACAAAAAATGAGCTATTTCAAATATTTTTAGGGAAAAGAAAGGGTTGTATTTAAAATATTTAGATAAAAAAGGGTTTTTCACACATTTCAAATATTGCTTAAATTAAAAAAAAAAATAGTATCTTTTGACCTTGGTATAATTATTATAAGTACTAAAATTGTAAGAATAAAGACTATGTTCACTCTTCTACATATATACTTTTTTCTTTTCTCCATCATAATTCTCATCTACAACTTTCATAATTGCTACTTTAAATGTTATTTGTTGTTGCTGTTAAATGCCTTCAAGACAGTTTCGAATCATAGCGACCCTGCATTGGGTTTCCTTTGTGGGAGTCAGAAAACCTCATCTTTCACATGCGGAATGGCTAGTATATTAAAACTGCTGACCTTACAGTTAGCAGCCCAACTCATAACCCACTATGCTATAGGGGCTCCTCTGCCTTAAATTATTCAGATATTTTAAAAGTATTTTATAGAGTTGAAGGAGATATACAACAAAACTCAAAGTTATAAAAAGGACCAGGCTTACTGATCAGAAAGAGACTGAGGAACCCAAGACTGTGGCCTTCGACAACCTTTCCAGTCTGGAAAGGAACTCACCCTCGTGGCCCAATTTTCAGCCAACCAGTAGATAGGTATATAGTGGGGACAACACTAGCAGGATATGCTTTCCGAGCTTTCAAGATCACAAGACAAACATTTACATAGGGGCAAAGTTAAGAAGGGAAGGGAAGGAAAGTGGAATGGAAATAGGAAGCACAGGGAGAAAGTGGGTAACTGTTGTTGAATGGAGGGGGTTGCAATCATTGAGATGAAACCTTCATTCAATTCACAATAAAAAGTTTTTAAAAACGCATTCATTCATTGAAACATTTATTGAAAACTTACTACATGCTAGAAATTGCCAGGGATACAAGGTATACCCAGTAGCTCAAATAGGTCATTAACTATCAGAAATAGACAAATATTTATATATATATATGAGTAATTCATTAAGTTTGCTACTAGAGTTCTAGCTCATATATGCATGGTTTTATTCCACATAAAACATGTTTAAACATATCTCTGAGATTAGTGGACGGCTGCACATAAATTCACTCACTAAAACACTTTTCTTAAGTCTCGTTAAGATGTGTTCAAAACATTTGTTGGTAAGTGCCCTTGAGTCGGTTCTGACTCATAATGACCCTGTGTATGGTGGGTTTCCAAGGAAACCTGGGAGTCTGAATCTCTGACCTTGTGGTTCAAACCAACCTTGCAGTATCCTACAGTGCCACACCAAGACTTAAAACATGTTGTTGTTGTTAGGTGCCATCAAGTTGGTACCGACTCATAGTGACCTTATACACAGCAGAATGAAACACTGCCCAATCCTGGGCCAACCTCACTATCGTTGCCATGCTGGAGCCCAGTGATGCTGCCACTTTGCCAATCCATCTCGCTGGGGGTCTTCCTGTCTTTCTCTGACCCTCCACCCTACCAAACGTTGTTGTTGTTAAGTGCCATCAAGTTAGTACCGACCTACAGCAACCTTATGCACTGTAAAACTAAACACTGCCCGATCCTGGGCCAACCTCACTACTGGTGCCATGCTTGAGTCCATCAATGCTGCCACTTCGCCAATCCATCTCGATGGGGGTCTTCCTCTCTTTCTCTGTCCCTCCACCTTACCAAACATGATATCCTTCTCCAGCGACTGGTCCCTCCTAACAATATGTCCGAAATATGAGAGATGAAGATCCCAACAAAACAATGGTTTCAAAGAGGATCTGCTGGGTTAGTCAAATTAAAGGCAGAGAGATCAGCTCAGAAGGTCATAGAGACTGTTTTTTGAGATTCCAAAGGAGTAATCTTAGAGAGTTCTGGTGTGGCGCTGTAGGATAAGTACTCGACCACAAGGTTGGTTTGAACCACAAGCTCAGCAATTCAAACTCACCAGCCGCTCCTCAGAAACTCTCTAATAGTGTCACTATGAGTCAGAACGGATTCTATGACACTTAAGAACAACAAGAATCTTGATAGATTTTCTCAAAGGACACAGGACTATCACATGGACTTAGTATAAAGTTTGAAGAAAGCTGAAAACTATATTGATGAGAAAAAGGACAGGAAAGTTGTATTGAGGAATTTTTTCTCGTCATAACAATGTGCCTGGCTCCTTCTTGAAAGTAGCAAGGGATATGAGAATTTAGTTGGGAAACCTTATCCCATCTACACTACAGACCTGATCTTGCCTCTTCTGACTTCTTTTTGTTTTCAAAACTCAGAACATTTCAAAGGAGCATGGTCTGAGTCCCTCAAGTATACCCAAACTGCCATCAAAAGAGTACAGAGCAAGATGGAGGATATGTCAAGAAACAATCTCCCATTTTGATACTTTTGCTTATTAGTAAAGGTTTCTATGATTTTAGAGCAATGCTTTTTTTTTTTTTTTGTACAGTATTTTCATTTTATTATAAAAATGCACACACAACAAAGATTGTCAGGGAGTCATTTCTTGGTTCTGCTTGCGTTCAGCACTTGCTCTTGAGCAGCTTTCTTGGCTTTAACCATCTCCACGAGTTCCTTGTATCGCTTCATGCAGTCTTTCTTTGTCCTTCCAGGCACAGCTTCTGCTATTTTCTTCCATCTTTTAGGTGTATTTACTGGGTATGTTTTCAAAGCTTGTTCCAAAAGCTTCTGTTCTTCTGTTGTCCAAGGGGTGATATCTGTGCATGGACCTTCAAACCGTTCTGAAGGTGTTGCATTGTCTGCTTGTGGTACCACTCCATGTTCCTTTTTAAATTTATCAAAAGCCTTCTTGTTTATGTCATCTTTTTGATGAGGGTCAAGTTTTTGGAGACTCTTTGCTTTGTCAATAACATCTTTGGCAGTTCTCTTGACTCCAGAAGAAGAATGTATGTTCATGTAATTGGCAATGACGTCCCACCTTGAATTTGTTCCAGCAGGGAAGAGGTTCACAGCTTTAATTAGTAACTGCAGATCATCTTCAGACCAATTTTTACCACCACTTCCACGTCCACCAGCTGATTTCTCAGCATTCTTAGATGCTTGTGGCATACGAGCCTCAGCTTCCTCTTTTTCTTTTCTAATTTGTTCATTTATCTCTTCTATCTGTTTTTCCAGAGCAGCCTTTCCTACTTCTTTTGTAGATGATGTGAGTGTTTCATTCAAGCACTGCAAGCTTGCTAGTACAAGTCGATCACAAAGTTTTTCCACTTCTTCCATCATCTTAACCCGCTCCGCCTCATTGTCAGAAAAGTGATTCCAGGTCTTGCATGAATTTCGAAGTTTCTGTCTTTCCCTCTTAATGGCTTTTTTCTGAATATCTTTCTCCTTCTTCGCCAATAATGCTTGCTGTCTAACTTCCTCTTCTTCTTTCTCTTTAGCTAACTGAGCAGCTTCTAATTCAGCTTGTCTTTGCTTCTCTTTAGCTTCTTGTTCCTTCCGTTTGGCTTCTGCTTTTGCTTTCTTCTCTGCTTCTTTCTTGGCTTTTTCTTCTTCCTTGAATTTTTTAATTCTTGGATCACAGCTATATGTATTATCAACCAGTGTCCTTATTCTGTTCATTTCTTCTTTTTTCCTTTGTGCCCTTGTTGCTCTATTCTGCTTTTCAATCCATTTTCTCTCATCATGACATTCTGCTTTTTCTTTTTCTTCTTCATCTAAATAAGAAAACTCTCTCCACGAATCAAAATTATA